CTATCTATCCTTGACTCTTTCTTTCTCTGTATATATATATATATCGCGCCTTTCTCAATTATGTGTCCTTTACTCTCTCTCTCTCTCTCTCTTTCTCTCTCTCTCTCTCTCTCTCAACTATCTATCCTTGACTCTTTCTTTCTCTGTATATATATATCGCGCCTTTCTCAATTATGTGTCCTTTACTCTCTCTCTCTCTCTCTCTCTCTCTCTCTCTCTCTCTCTCTCTCTCTCTCTCTCTCTCTCGCTCTCAATCATTTAATCATATTTCTCTCAATGGTTTTGAGAGGTTTAGAGAGAGGTTTAGAGAGAGAGACATCCAGAGAGAGATAAAGAGAGATTTTCAGAGAGAGTTTGCATTGTGTAAACATAAAGAGGAGAGACAAATGTACAATTGTGTGAAATTGCATGGTATGATTGATACATATTGACATCGGCATTTATGGTAACTGATATGACTCGATATGTAGATGTGTGTGTGTTCATGTTGTGGATGTTTCTTTTCTTTCTCGTTCTCTCTCTCTCTTTCTCTCAGAATCGTTTTTCTCTCTTGCACACATATACATACAAGCAAAGCTCCCTCTCTCTCTCTCTCTCTCTCTCTCTCTCTCTCTCTCTCTTTCTCTCAATCGTTTTTCTCTCTCGCACACATATACACACACAGGCAAAACTCTTTTTCTCTACCACTCTCTCTCTCCTTCTCTCTCTCTCTCTCCTTCTCTCTCTCTCTCTCTCTCTCTCCTTCTCTCCCCCTCTCCTTCTCTCTCTCTATACATATATGTATATACAAATATATGTATATATATATATGTATGTATATATGTATATATCTTCATTGATGTACACGGATATGTATTTGTCTATGTTGTTATTTTCAAGTTTGTGTGGAACAGTGATAGAGCGCCTGCTCCATGAGCGAGTAGGGCAATGCATGCGTAAAAGTTGATGCGAAAAACTTGATGGAGTTATTGTGTCATAAAGGAATAGTAAATTTGCATTGATTTCTGTAAAAGCAACTTGATGATACAATTTTATGCAAGATATATTGACGGTGCAATATATATTGTATGTGAGAAACKAAGGTTGAAGCCCTATTGACGGTGCGGGTAATCTGATGCAATTTTGCAGTATTCCAGACAAATCTCGACATGCAAATCTCTCCATTCCATGGAAAGCTATTAATATGATAGAAGTGCATCTTTACACGCACGTACTACCAGTTCCGCTTACATGCAAATAAACCTGCTACGACGTCGAGTTAAAGACGAGCCAGGCTCAACATGGATGGTGGAATGAAGTGACTCGTAGATGGAAGAGACAGTGCAGCGGCGTGGTCGTCTCCATGTAGGAGCCACTGGATAGCACCATTCATGTACATCGTGAAGGCGGTTGTGCATGTTACTCGTCTTTAATCGGCAAAAAAAAAAAAAAAAAAAAAAAAAAAAAAAACACGGCCATGGCTGAACCAAAAAAGGAAATAGAAGTAGTATGGTGGGGAAAATTAAATCATTTCAATCCGACCCTATTTTTGAAGTGCGAATGGGGCGTAAATTGTCACGATACTATTTTGACATACCTCATGGAAGGTTTTGTAGGCACGTTATTTTGCAGGATGATTCACGAGTAATAAAAAAATACAGAGTACTGAGTATTTAATGTTATGTGCAACATAAAAAGGACAAAGGTATATCATTGAAGACCGACGCTATGTATATGCAATATCAAAGTGGAATACTGACAATGATCGTTTGACGAATGCGGTTGATTTGTATTTGTATGCAGCATAAAAATGACTGACCATGGTTGTTTGTTGTGCTTTCTGGCCTTCAGCGTCAGTAGAGACCCAGAAAGTTGCCTTCGCTTTTGGTGTTCCATGTAGATAAATGCAATATAAAAAGTGGCAGAGGTATGGTATGAACCGATATTGTTTGTCGGATAGTTTGTGACTAATATGTAAACGAACACCGGACAGAAAACTGATTGATGCGTATATATATGCAATATAATGTCACAGAGGTATGATATGAACCGATATTCTGAGTCGTATAGTTCGTGACTAATATGTAAATGAACACCGGTTAGAAAATTGTTGGATGCGTATGTATATGCAATATGATAAAAGTAGCAGAGGTATGGTACACACGGATTATTTATGTCGGATAGTCGTGAGTAGTATGTAAAATCACACTAGACAGAATACTGACAATGATCATTTGACAAATGCGGTTGATTTGTATTTGTATGCAGCATAAAAATGGCCGACCATGGTTGTTTGTTATGTACGTAGATAAATGCAATATAAAAAGTGGCAGAGGTATGATATGAACCGATATTGTTTGTCGGATAGTTTGTGACTAATATGTAAACGAACACCGGACAGAAAATTGTCGGATTGATGCGTATATATATGCAATATAAATGTCGCAGGGGTATGGTATGAACCAATATTATGAGTCGTATAGTTCGTGACTACATTGTAAACGAACACCGGTTAGT